CACCCACAATAAACAACACACGCATCTACTTGCGGTTGCTTTACTAAAATGCATGTCCAGTGAACAGTAGTTCATAAATTTGGGTTTCCTGACGTCTATTTAAGGCTTATCTCACTGAAAGCTTCTAACTTCACCCATTCCCAATTTCCGGAAACATGCGATGACGTCAACTTCACAAGTTGGGGAAGAAATACCTGTGCCTATAATCTTCACTCCCGCTGAAATGTTACTAAAAAGAAGTCATAGCGCTTATATGTCTCTGACATGAATAAATAAACAACGTCCTATCACTATTCATAAGGCAGACACTGATATGAACTGACAGTTTTGAGTGGATTCGCTTTGCTCGATAGCTGACATTTAAAAACTCGTTTCTAGTCTTGACATTTCAGCCAATTATGTTTTAGTAGCCTTAATTTATTATGCATCACAGCAGCAGCAGAACTAACGGTTTTCCTTATACCCGAAACTAATGAAGCTTATAAATTGTAGCCGTGAGAGTTGCTTGAATTTAACTTTTTATGTTAAATATCGGAAATGCTTAGTTTCCGCGTGCCTTAGTATAAATGCTTAATTCCTCTAGTACGCATGAATATGACTGCCGTGGCTATTACGCTGCTTCTCTGAAAACGCATACCTACCTACCTTCCGATATTCTATTGATCCGGAATTGGCAATTGAGTTCAAAGCAATCAAAAACAAAGAACCGACGGAGAACTAAATAATTATGCTTGGTATTGATCTGTCTGGTCACACTCTAATACATTTTTTACAGCAGAATCAAGGAATATGAAAATGCTTTTCGGAATAATCTCCATCATAGTTAATTCGAATTTATGAACTGAATCTGTCATTTTGTATTTTTAAGAGCTTCGTGTTCAAAAAGGAAATAAGTGAAGCATTCACATAAAACCAACACTGCTTGGAACAAAAACAATGCAATGGCGACAGGGTACACACATTCAAAACGCTGGATATTACCGAATAGTCGTTATTCTTGTTTAGAAGAATCTGACACATTGTCCAACCCGCAAACTAATCACAGAACTAATA